CAACGGCTGTGGCTGTGTCCAGAGAAAGTGGTAAACCTCGCAATGGCCCTTTGTCCGAAAGCTCTTGCACATCACAGACAAACGTGAAGAAGCTGGGAAGCCAGATTGCCTCCCGGAGGTTCCAAGGCCATCCCTGGGTCTCCTCTTCAGTGTCCGTCCTGCACGGAGAGGAAATCCAAAAGGAGCGAGCGGCTGATGCCCACTGTTCTGTTTGCACAGGGCCTGGGTGGACAAAGCAGCCCTTTTTGACAGCACCACCTGCTCCCACAAGCAGATCTGGAGGCTGCCGCCGTCTCTGTCTGGTCCTGTGGAGGCCCGCCAGGCAAGGTGAAAGGCCTTGCTATGCAGCTGAGGCTCTGGTGCCCTTTGGGATAATAGGTCAGGTGTCAGGCAGGGGAAACAGGGACACCTCCAAGCAGACTCCTATCACTTCCTTGTCTGCTGGTTTGATTAGGCCCCCAGCCAGGAGGCACACCTGGGCCGCGGCAGCTGCATGTTGGCAGGCCCCCCCCCCCCTGGAAAGCTGAGTGCCTCCTGAACGCAGTCTGTGCTGACTCAGCAGACTCCTGGGGCCTCCGGAAAGCACCCCAAGCGGGAGAGGTCCTGGGGGCAGCCTCCCTCGGCTGAGGACAGACATGGTGATGCTGCCAACCACACGTGCCCTTAGTTGCTTCTTTGGGAGGGATCCAAAACACTGTAGTAAGTCCCCACACAGAATTGGTAAAGAGCTATCCACGAGCAACACCTCCATTTCAAGACATAGTTCTTAAACAAACATAAGAACATAAGAGAAGCCAATGCTGGATCAGGCCAGTGGCCCATTCAGTCCAACACTCTGTCACACAGTGGCCAAAAATGCCAGGTACCATCAGGAGGTCCAGCAGTGGGGCCAGGAGGACACTAGAAGCCCTCCCACTGTTGCCCCCCCCAAGCACCCAGAATACAGAGCATCCCTTGCCCCCAGCCTGAGAGCTCCTATCTATACCTTAAGGACATAAGAACCTAAGAGAGGCCAATGGCCCATCCAGTCCAACACTCTGTCACACAGTGGCCAAAAATGCCAGGTGCCCTCAGGAGGTCCAGCAGTGGGGCCAGGACACCAGAAGCCCCTCCCACTGTTGTCCCCCCCCAAGCACCAAGAAGACAGAGCATCCCTTGCCCCAGCCTGAGAGTTCCTAATCTATACCTTGTGGCTCATAGCCACTGATGGACTTCTGCTCCGTATGCTTATCTCATTCCCTCTTGAAGCTGTCCATGAAGTGCATTTGGGGCTTCTTGGCCTGTCTTTGGAGCCATTGTGATGGCACCGAGGTCACAGAGTTGGGGGCTCATGCCACCGTCAACAAGTCCACCAAGGACGATGCTCAGCACGCAGTGATAGCCTTCCTTCTGCTCCTGAAGGTATCTCGACGATCTGTCTAGGGGACTATCCACACAAAACCAGGAGAGGCTCCGTGCCTGCATAAAGTGAGCAAAATAACTGCAGCGCGTCAGTGGATAAGTCACACAACTTGGTGAGAGGAAGCGGACAGTCTATGAGTTCTGGCTCGCTCCAAGTCTCTGAATGGAAACTTCCTTTTGAACATGGTGCAGGTGCATGATGATGGGGGGGGGGGGCACTAGCTCTTTAAAGTTTCACCACCTGAGCCATCAAAACGGTTATCAGGCAGACTTGCAAAGATGCCTACCTGGTAAACAATAGAGTTCTTAAACAATCGGCTTCCCATGACCAAAGTGCTTTGTTGACCCAAGGTAAGTATATCCAAGCCAAGGCTGGAACCGGTAGGGCGCCGTGCGGGCACCGGAGGGTGATGCCAATGACTGACTATGCCACTGAGGGCTGGAAGCAAGTGGAGCCCTTGAGAGGCATCCTGCCCCCCCCCCCGTCCCCTGGGCTGCCCCAAGCGCTGGTGTGGCCAGAGAACCGGTCCCGGGGGCACCTCCTCTTGTCAGCCTTCCGGGCAGCCGGGGGCTCCAGAGATGTGGGTCCTTCTTGGCTGGTCTGAAACGATGGCTGCAGCCCCCGCTCAGGCGAGGCCTTTCCCCCCTCGAGGCCAGCCTTGCTCATCTCAGCCGGTTTCCCCCACCACCATCCCGTGGTGGCATCAGTGTGAGGGCTGGTGAATTCTCACTGCTTCGGAAGGCAGATCTTGGAAGGTGCCTCCTCAGCCTTTGCTTCTCATGCTCTTGCCCCACTTCCTTGGCAACTCAGCTTCGTGAGGAGAAACCTTCTAAATCAAGTTGGTGTGTCCCCCCCCCACTTTTGATGAGGCAAACCCCCCCCCACACACAGACCCTTTGTCCAAGAAAAAACACCACCCAAGCATAAGTTGTTGGTGTCAATCCTGCCTCCTTCCGCTTCCTCATTGTCAGAAAGAGCCGTTCCAGAGGGCTGAGGGGGCAGCCAGCCCCAGCAGCTGAGCTGTTCCTGGCTGGGGCCTTTGCCGGGCTTGTTGGGAAGAAGAGGCCGGCAGCCCGGGTGTGGAGTCAGCTCTGGCTTGCGTGACCCCCTCCCCCTCCCCCTCGCACGCACCCCAAACAGGGTCTTCCCAGTGGCAGAGCTATCTTTGAAACTCCCGGCCCCCTGGAATACCTTGTGGTCGGGTGGTTTAGGGAGGGAGGGCTCCAGACCAGCCTTGGAGGCTGCGGAGCATGAAGCAGCTCTCTGTTATGGGGGGGGGGGGGGAGGTAATACTGGGATATATTGAGAATAAACAGGGAAGCCGCAGCGGGAGAAGCCGAGCCTCAAGGGAGCCGGTGGAGGTGGAGGCCAGCAGGCGCTTTCAGCCTATTTACTTATGCAGTCCAATTTTTAAAAATATCTGACTCCACTGACATGAACCCGCCTGAAATATCCTTCCTGCAAACATCCTACACCCAGCCTCAATAGTGACTCCATGCCTCCTTTTCTTTCGGAGCTCCCTGACCCCTGCCTTACAGCTCAGCCTGGGGTTCAGGCCAAGAGGGTTAAGCCTCCAGCTAGGTGAAGAATGGGCTGCCTGGAGCCAGCTGCCATTGCCTGGGCCCAGGGCGACCCGTGGACTGACCCAGCTGCAGGAGAGCTCACGGGATGCCCTCTGATGGCTGGGTGGCTGCTGGGAGTGCCCGATAGCCAATCAGCAGAGGAGTTGGTTTTTATACCCCACTTCTCTCTACCGGAAGGAGTCTCAAAGCGGCTTACAGTCTCCTTCCCTTCCTCCTCTCCCCACAGCAGTCCCCCTGTGAGGTCGGTGGGGCTGAGAGAGTTCAGAAAGAACTGTGAGTAGCCCAAGGTCGCCCAGCTGGCTTCATGGGGAGGAGTGGGAAATAAAGCCCAGTTCTCCAGGTCAGAGTTCACTGCTCTTAACCCCTACACCACCCTGGCTGCTGGAGAGCGGGAGGAACCAGGAGCTTCATGCGCCTAGAAAATGGCCCCTATGTTGGCTCAGCCCATCTGGCCACCTGGGATCCGGGCCACAGTAACACTAATGCAGGCGACATGGCTCTGCCTGTGAAACCAACTTGGAGTAGGCGGGGCATGCACACTACTCCCCTCCTGCGCTCATCCCATTGGCTGCCCATCAGTTACCGAGTTCAGTCCATGGTACGGGCTGTGGTGTGCAAAGCTCTTCATGGCCCTGGGCTTTCCTACTGGTGGGATCACCTCTCCTGCTCTGTTCCACCACTCTGCTGATCTGAGCAGGGCCTTTTGTGGGTGCCACCCTGCAAAGGGACAGGATCAGCAACTGCTCAAACCCCTGCATTCTCTGTTGCGACCATGCCTGACGGGGGGCAGGAAGTCCTCCACGCTCCCGTCATGCTGCAAGCTATGTAAAAAAAAAGTCTGAGTCCAGTCAGGCACCTTTAAGACCAACAAAGTTTAATTCTGGGTAGAAGCTTTCGTGTGCAGACTTAAGTTTTGTTGGGTCTTAAAGGTGCCCCCCCACTGGACTCAAACTTTGTTCTGTGGCTTCAGACCAACATGGCTACCCACATGAATCTATGTAAAAAAAAGGCATTTTTATTGAGGTTATAGGGCTATACTATAATGAAATGGCTCAGGAAGGTGTTTTAATTATGGGAATGGGGCTGTGGATGTGGATGATATTACGATGTATAACATGTTTGTTGTATATATCATCCTGTTCTCATTGCATTGTTTTCTACTTCTGACACCAGTTTCTGCATTTTTTAACATAGTGTCTCTAATACTTCTGCTTTATTTTGGATTTCAGTAGTCCTCATCCTGCTACAC